GAGTAGTTCTTCTGATTACGACTATGTGAAATGACTACAGTTTTATCAATGTATATCAGAGATGCTTCATAAGGGTTAGGAAAAAATATTAGTTCTTATTGCTAAAATTTTCAAAATTATGAGGTATTCCAACTTTGACTAATGATAGAAAAATTTGACTCATCTTGGCACATCTTGTTCTACACAGATTGGAGATCTATATTCCTTGACAAAGGAAGGAAAAAGCATTAATATTTTTGTACACTGATACTTAGTCAACCAGTCTGCATCAATTTAGTGAATCAATCTTGTAGTTGTTAATTTTTAAAAAATATTTAATGAATCTCTTTTATCTAATGCATTCCTGCTTCTCAAACATTCACACTGGACCAATTAAAGGAAAGAAAGAAAAGAAAAGAAAAGAAAAAAAGAAACTAAGAACTTATGAGGACTATTTAAACAAAATTTGGCCAAGGTCCAAAGCTCAGCACTAACTCAAATGCATACTTTATATTCCAGTCTATTGTAGGTTAAAACTACTGAGCCTAATCTTACAACTTGGGCTTTGCTATTATGCATATAAAAGCAATAGGATATAGTGTGGATTATTTGTCAACCCAAACACTGTACTGTATACACCTACTTTGTAAATAGTGATTCACTGTGGAATGCATATGTAGACATATCACAAAATTTACATATTCTTGGAACTAAACTAATACCTGAACTTTCTGACTAATCACTTCTTCACTAAAAATGGAGAAGGTGCAGTATGAAAATATATAGCATTAAATGGCATAAATTTTCTGAGGAAAATACATTAAAAAAATCCAATTTATAAAATAACTGAAGTTATAGACTGTATAATTAATTATATTGAAACTTGTCAGTGCTTCCGCTTTTCACACTCTACAATGGCCCTCTTGAGAGACAGCAAATATCTCAAATTACTTAAAATGTTATGTATTCAATCTTAGGAATCTATTTTGCCATAATGCTATCTTATGGATAATCCCTCTAATAATAATTCTATGCACTTCAGATGCTGAACTGTCATGCCTAAGTTGCACCTCCTCCGGGGTTTCCAGTTATGTTCTGATTTACTTTAATAACTCTGGAGACAATAAATTAGAACTTGAAGTTCAAATCTTATTAGTCAGCTACTCTTACTGGCAATGGGAAAAAAAATGACTATGAATCCTTTGGGGGGAAAAGGCATATGAATTCAACAGATGTTGAACTAAATAACGGCCAAGATGTATCTTAGAAAAAATGACTAGAGAAGTTATAACAACTTGCTCTCTCTAAAAGGAACAATAGCTCATGCCTTAGTCATGAAGCTGCACTGCAACAGGAAATGAATATCTGTGATTCATATACAAAAAGTACTTTACTGAAAACAGAAAAAAGAATATAGATGCCTGGAAAGATGCAATGAAGTGCAAAAGAACACCCACCGGTTGTGTGGTACTCGACTTGAGGAATAAAAACCATGAGAATCTTTGGGTTAACAGTGAATATGAGAGCAAATCAGCAACCATTTGTCTCTGAGAGGTTATTTTAATATCTCTATAAAACTTGCAAAAGGTCAGAAGAATTGAAACTTTCGCAATCAAAAATGTTCTTAGTAAGGCAATGTCTGTGGCATCTTCTGACAGTGTGCTCAAAACATGGGTTGGTACTTTCTTCCTGAGCCGTCATAGCCACACATTATTTAGTATATAATATTCAGTTCCAAAGAGGGAAATAATACCATTCACTGTAGATAGATATAGTACAACAAAATACAAACTATAGAAAAAATAAAATAAAAGTTGTATGGTTGTTGGAGAGGATATATATATATCTAGATATTCTACTTTTGTGCCATTATTCAGTCCTCACAGTTATAGTTCAATCTGATTGAAAGATACATGGAACAAATTACACATTTTTTTTCTCTTCTCATTTACTGTGCAATTCTCTAAGAAAACAAATCATGAGTGTGAAACACCATCTCTGCACCGACCATACAACAACTTGCCACGCGAGCAAGGCACAAACTCAAAGTTCTGACATTACCTAGAGTTAGAAGTTGTGTCAAAGGACCATACTACCTCATCCTCCCAAGTCTCACCTGTGATGTTGGTTGTAGGAAGGCCACCATTCAGGCTATCTATCACGCCGAGGTCCGACAGAGTCTTTGGCACGAACTCTGAACGGGGAAGACTTGCGGCTTCATTCTTCCTGCAAAGGGGATTTGTGGGCACTTAGTTTACCAAAAACTCACAAAAAGTGCTGTGGAATCATAATAAATCTTGATGGGTGTATTTCTAATGAGCTTGAACTTAATGAAGTTTCTTTAAATATCAAAAAGTTTGTAGGCATATCTATTCTCAGATATAAATGAACAAGTCAAAGTAAAAGTATTCTATACTAAAATGATCATATGTTTATCTGCTGTGCAGTGTTTCTCTTTCTAATCAATGAGACAGAAAACCACCACTGTTCTTACTTATCATGAAGTGTACCAGCCAGGGCCTCTAGGATCTCAGTGCACTGTCTATGGTAGTCTAACAGATTCTCTGCAAAGGTAGCCAGCTGGGAGATCTGCTCCACCTGTAATATCATACATATTTAAATATCACTTCTGGCAGCAGGTCATAGTTGTTTACCACCATCATTTACAACATTCATACCTAGATGAAAGTACATTGAACTACTGATGTTCCAGATAACTGCATTGTTAGCTACTTCAAATTTTACCCTTTTATCTGATCATTTTGGTCAATGAGATGTTGTTCACCAAAAAAGAGGAGTCTCATCAGAACAGAAATTATTACAAATATGCTCCTAATAATCATAGTTTCATGATTATTACTCATGCTCACAGTAAATGTAGTTTCTCAATTTGTAATTTTCAGCAACTGAACCAAATTTAGGCCTTGCAAGACCATGAAAGAACAAAGAAATACTATAAGAAAAAGAGTACAAAGTATATTCATTAACTTATTGGTGCACTAACACATGCTGATGTTAGACTTACATCATTATCCAGGAGATTATGCATGCCCATCTGCGCGAGATGTAAGGACTCGGCAAACTTATCCTCAGCCAACTTGATTTCCTCTTCGCTGACATGGGACCCAGCTGAAAGAGCATGAGAATGTAAGCTTGTTTTTTCCCCTATCCAAGTGTTCTTTTTTTTTTTTTCTTTTTTGTTATGATTCACATGTTTCTGCTTCTATTACTCTGATTTCAGTTTCTGGATGTACAGAAAGTAATGAGCTTAAAAGATCAAATGATCAACGAATGAACTATTAAATACTAATACCAAGAAACACATGAAGTGAATTTAACCCCAACATGTAACATTAAGCACTGTAACAATCTTTTACATGATCATTAATAAGAGCAAAAATAGACATAGTGCTTTGCACCACAGACCAACTAGTTGCTACATCCAGTGTTCTCTCACAATATGTGGAAAACTCAGCTTAAAGAAATTTTAAAATAAATTCCTAAACAAGAAAAGATAAAAAGAATAATCCAAAATAATACAAAAACCTGTGCAAATTTGAATACTGGCTTCCTTATTAAAATAAAAAAGTGTACAGTAACTTGCAAATCTATTTTAAATGAAAGCATACATGACCCAAACAAGTAACTATGAACAAGAAACAAATACAGAAATGGATTATACTCAACTGCATGGCTCTGAGTAATGGCCGATCCAAACAATATATAATACTTGCACTGTGCAAACTACTCAACATAGAAAATTAAAATCACTAAAGAAAGGACATACATTAGTAACACATTACTTAACCCAATCGGCACGGATGGCAAGAACACATGCCATGCCCACTGTAATATAAGTTTACTTATTGTATTTACACAAAGATGGCTCTATAAGTTCTTAATCACCAAGGAGTCACTTATAAGTCCTACCTATCTCACCTGTTTACCGTTTTCCTTGAATATTGGAAAGGGTCTCTTGTATTATTTCATTGTCTTAAATGTTACCAAGATTTAAATAACAATTTAATAATCATATCATCACTAACAATAATAACAGTATCGATATCAATTGTGTTAAAAAGAAAAATACATTTTCCAATTCAAGGAATGGGGAAATCAGGATCAATCATTAGGGCCTACAGATAGACTCCTTGCCAGCTGAGCACGTGTGGAGCCATCTGTATGTAACAAAATTCACAAAAAAATATGGGGGGCAGAACGTAAATCCATGGGGGTTGGGTTAATCATCCTGTCTTCTTAACCTTCCATTAAATATTCAAGACTCCATAATAGCTAATACCTTACTGCCAATTTAATCATTTATAATCAGACAAAAACCTTTCCACCGATTCAAAATCAACCAATTTTCCCAAAGTTTTGCAAAAGAAAATCATGTACACTATTCCAAAATTCAAATCCTTAACAGCATTCCTAGCCTTGATAGGAAATGGGATGGGCCAATCTGACAACTTCCACACATCATCTTCATCTCGTATGATATCTCACCTACTTTGTATGTGCATCTGTACATTCCTCTGACTACTATGAGTCTTTTATGAGTATTTGTCTTTGTATGCATGTACATGCATGCACACATGCACAACACACACAAACAGACAGACAGACAGACAGACAGACAGACAGAGAGAGAGAGAGAGAAGAGAGAGAGAGAGAAGGGAGAGAGAGAGAGAAGAGAGAGAAGGGAGAGAGAGAGAAGGGAGAGAGAGAGAAGGGAGAGAGAGAGAAGGGAGAGAGAGAGAGAGAGAGAGAGAGAGAGAGAGAGAGAGAGAGAGAGAGAGAGAGAGAGAGAGAGAGAGAGAGAGAGAGAGAGAGAGAGAGAGAAGGGAGGGAGAGAGAAGGGGGAGAGAAATAAGGGAGAGAGAGAGAAGGGTGAGAAAGAGAGAGAGAGAGGGGGAGGGAGGGAGAGAGAGAGAGGGGGAGGGGGGGGAGAGAGAGAGAGAGAGAGAGAGAGAGAGAGAGAGAGAGAGAGAGAGAGAGAGAGAGAAGGAGGGGTAGAAAGAGAGAGAGAGAGAGAGAGAAAGGGAGAAAGGGAGAAAGAGAGAAAGAGGGAGGGAGGGAGGGAGAGAGAGAGAGAGAGAGAGAGAGAGAGAGAGAGAGAGAGAGAGAGAGAGAGAGAGAGAGAGAGAGAGAGAGAGAGAGAGAGAGAGAGAGAGAGGGGGGGGGGGGGAGATAGATAAAGGGAGATAGAGAGAAAGAGGGAGAAAGAGAGAAAGAGGGAGAGAGAGAGAGAGAGAGAGAGAGAGAGAGAGAGAGAGAGAGAGAGAGAGAGAGAGAGAGAGAGAGAGAGAGGAGGGGGGAGGGAGATAGAGAGAAAGAGGGAGAAAGAGAGAAAGAGGGAGAAAGAGAGAAAGAGGGAGAAAGAGAGAGAGAAAGAGAGAGAGAGAGAGAGAGAGAGAGAGAGAGAGAGAGAGAGAGTGAGTGAGTATGTGTGTGTGTTTATGAATGAGTGTATATGTCAGTATATTCAAATCTACACACAAGTGTCCAAACATTCCCAAACATGTGTTCCATAATATTATCTATGATAAGGAACAAAATATAGACATGCTTTTTCCACATCTAATAAAAGACAAAACAAAACAAAAGAAAACAAAACCTTCAAGTCACTTTTGCTGAATTTTATGCTTTTATCATCTTTAAATAAATAGTGAGATGCTGTTTTGAGAGTAAATCATAAGTAAAATGCTGCTTGTTCATGCAATGTGAATCATATGCATGTTCTCCTTATCATATGGACCACGGATCAAAAGAAACACTATATACAAACTATTGTTAAACAGATATTGACAGCATTTATGAATATATACACTATTCTTTGGTAATTATACTTTACACTACTAATTTTGTTATGCTCTCTTGACTTCAAGTGGTCTTACAAATTTGCTGGTATAATTCGCCCATAATCTATAAAACTTGCAGTGGTGTGATTAACAAAAAATAAAACAAACTAAAAATCTGCAAATACAATGGACAACCTGTAGATTCCTGCACATGTTTCCACAGAAGATTAACAAAGCTGGTATAAACAAAAAAGCACACGACAGTCTGCACAACCTGCTTCTAAAAGTGCATTTCGCGAAAGCCAACAAGAGGTTCTTCGGAAGAGCAGACTTAGAACCCCTAAACTGCGAGGTGTGGTCCCACAGACAGACCAAATAATCTTAGCGCAGATCACAACCTTTTAGTCATCTGTGTTCGCTCATTTATATTATGAAGGATGCAGTCAATATCTTACTTGTTCAGAAAATAAACAAGGATGGTGAGAAAAATAAAAGAGTGAGAATAAAGAATCAAAGAGAGAATGTGAGAAGGTGAAGATATCAAAATAAATTGGAAAAGAAAGGAAAAAAGAAAAGAAAACAAAACAAAAGAAAAAGCAGAAAAAGCACTTTTGCCAGAAAACTAAAAGCTATTTACAATATAAACCAAAGCTGAAAACTATGCGGTTCTTTGATATGAAGCCCAAAAATATTGATACTGTTACATCTTGTCACCAAGATCTTCCTGTTTACATACCCCCCCTGCCTGGACTGCGAGCTGGACTACTGGAGGGCGTGTAAAGTGCTAGAACACAAACAACAGACTAATTAGACATTTCCTTTTATTTTGGCATCACAGGTTGCATGTCCAGCGTCTGTCATGTTTCTCCTTACACTGTATTAAATGTAAATTAAGTGTAGCTGTGAGCTACTATGTAGGATGATTAATTATTAAAAAATAACCTTTTTTTTAGTATCCAAAATACACGTGAAAAAAGTGTTTGTCACAGTAAAAATGTCTCTCTCTGATGCCCCAAGAGAGCTTTAGACAGTGGACGTCCCAGAACAGCAATCTAAAAGAAATATCAAAATGAGTGGGGGGGAAAAAAAAAAGATAAAAAGAGAGACAAATAACTGAAATAAACATACAGAACATCATAGATGTAAAGATAGAAGCACAGCCGAGAGAGACTTCCCAAACTCAAAAACAATGACACAAGTATGAAGGTGTTGAAGGAAGACATTTTACACAAAGGAGGCACCAAATAATCTGAAATTAATCACAAGCTGCCAGTACAGAAGACCAAGTCATCATGATATATATAATCTACAAAATGATAAATTCAGCTGAAAAAACAGGAAGCTAATTTGTAGGTTTACAGAGTAATCATTCACTTTGTGGATATGGCTCATTTATAGAGAAATAAATGAACAAACATCATACATGTTACTAATCAACAACCCTCAGAGTGTCTTTCAATGTGTTACATTACATTTTCTCACTGCCTTTCTCTTTCCTTCCTCGTTACTCTCTAACTTATCCTAGATGGAGCTCAAAGTTACATATAATACATCTAAAATAACCTATAAATTTATGACATATTAGTAAACTTATAAAGCATTCTTGTATGAAATTAATGCAATGGCACCGATTTTCATAATATTACATACATACAGATCATTATAGATGTAAAGACAGAAGCACAGCCGAAATAGACTTTCCAAACTCAAATATAAAATC